CCTAAACAATCCGTTAATGGAAAAATGAAAGCCTGACTTTAACCAAAACCTGAGATTTAACTGTCTCAATCTGTCACTTCTTAAGTACTATCTGTTAATATTGATTGTGAAATTCTAAGACTGCCAGAGCTGCATCCCTGGGAATCAGAAGGTGTGTCTATCCAACAGTCAAAAAATATACACATACTAGTGAAAATAAAATGAAGCATACACTATGGGAAATGGAACAAACTTCCCCTGGGGACGTCAAGAAGAAACTATTTTGATATTTCACATTCACAATGGAAGGTTGCCTCTACATACGTAAACACAAATAGAAAATAATGATTGGGCATCATAGGAAGAACGAATCATCCATCACTGTGGTGTTCCTATGTAGACCTGATGGACCGAGGGACAACAGCAGTAATGTCTGCACCAGGAGCTGACATCCCTTGTTACATACCTGCTGCATTGACATCTGAATCAGCTTCCGAGCATGTACTTCCTGTCCTTGCCCCATCGAGATAGTTCTGCATTCTGTAACACATGAGAAATTTCACAATAATGAAATGTCAGTTTTGTAATAGGACTGGGACAAGAAAACTAATTTCTGAATAGTTAAAACCTCCCTCCCTCCATTACTTCTAAGGAGCCTTTGCTGTTCAAACAGGCTTGGCCTTTGGTTGTGTTGATCAGGGAAATGAGTGGAGCAGAGAACTGGGTGTATCACCTGGAAAGGTAGGGGGCTGCGAGAAACAAAAAGGCACAAGACTGGGTTTTTAGAGAGGGTTTTGGGGTCTCTGGATAAAGACTGATGGTGGGAGAGGAAGCTACAATGCTATCATAGGTATTTAGAAGCAAAGAAGATTTTTTCAGTCTTGCTGTATGTTTTGGTTAGCATCCTCCTTTGCTGTTTTAGCAGATGCTTCAGTAAAGATTAAATATTGTTTTTTATTCTTTTGAGATGTCAAGTTCACAGTGTTTTTTGCCTGTTTATCTATTTTGGTTTTTCTTGTATATTTGTTCACTTTTCTGAGATGAAATCAAGATAACTCAGCCCTTTGAAGGCTACATTCAAGGGCAACTGTCTAAGACCCAGTTTTCAGCTTCTCCTCAGATTAAATCACCACCTTGGAATTGAGCACTAAGAGAAAGTGGAGACCACTCCAAAGTGTAATTATAATTTAGGGGAGAATACACTGTTCAGGACCAAATGTCCCAGGCAGAGAACCACACTTGTGCCCTGACATAATGACTTCACTTGTGAAACTGCAGTCGGAAATTAATTTTTAAACAAGCCTTTGTGGGCCCAGATATTCTC